CAGAGTGGTTCAGAGCAGACGCTGAGCAATGAGTACTACTGTGTGTATATAGTGCAGGACCCAAATCCAGTGTAAAAAAAAGGGGGGGTGTCATCATGTAGGGAATTAATCACCTTATCATAAAGTGGGTCATTATTTCAATATGTGACATTTATCTAATTGTGAAATCCAGTAAGAAACCAGTTTATTAGCTAGAGAGTATTTCACACAGGCTTCATTGTTGCGGACAGGCAGCAGGTAGTTTATCTTGACTATTTCTTTCTCTCCTGAAGGATCCTTAACCTCTCCTCCTCCCACACAGTCCTCCCAGGCAGTCCTCTCTGCCGGAGGCTCCGAGGAGAAGCGCAAAACGCTTGATAGTAAAACGGGCAATAACAGTGATGATGATGAGGGGAGATACAGTGTGTGGGCAACTCTAGTTCATTATCGGCTGCGTGGTGGAGAGAGAGGCATCCACATGACGGTGTGAGAAGCGTCTTTGGACAGGCAGAGGTGTGTAAGACTGGATTTGTAATTAGCTTGCCTTATTTTTTTGTAATATGTCATTAACAAAACTGCATCAATTAGATAAATTAGATAAGTCTGACATGGTTTGAGTGGAAGTTGGAACGGTTGAGAAGTTTTTAATGCCTGTTTTTGCAGCATCTTCAGGGAGGACAACCAACTGAAGACAGAAGGATCTAAAGAAACAGGGTATCTGATTTTCTGGGTTTTTTTGCTGTCAGTTTCATGTAGCTGATGCATTTTCACAAGAGAATTAGGCTACATCTATCTATCTATCTATCTATCTATCTACCTATCTATCTATCTATCTATCATGTAATAATGATCATCGTGGTGCTTACTGGGTTGTGATGGAACAAACAGCTGAACTGACAAATTAAAGGGGTATTCCAGTAATCTAGTATTTCATTTCCATAAAGTTGGGGCACTTGTGAGATGGAGATTTAAAAATAATTTTTCAGAATCAATGCAGCAGTGTCTGAGATATCTTGACTGTTCACACATCTCCCTCTCGCAGGCGGGTTTAGCTTTGACGTCATTAACATCCTCCCATCTGATTGGACAGTATTTCCCCCGCCCCTTTTAGGGGAAAGAATCTTGCTTTCACATAACAGGAAAATGCAGAAAAGCTGTTGTGTTGCAGGTTGTAAAATAAACTAGAACTGCAAGCAGTTGTAAGCGGGGTGCAAGCCTCCCGGCGCCAGCCGCCCCCTTGCCCCGCGGAGGCTGCGCGAGTCGACCCGGGCGCCCCGCCGTGGCTCAGGGGGCCCGTGGAGAATAAAGGACCAGAGTTATAAATGAAAGGGACTTGCGGTTATGGAAATATGAAATGATTGTATGTCTATGGAAGTGTTATTTGATATACGCTTAGTAGCTCTACCTAGAGGCCGACTGACACCAAATTTCACACAGCCTGTCGGGAGGGCATGGCTGATAAGGATCAAAATCTACAAGTCTAAATCTAAAGTCTACAAACTTTTATCGGCTTCGTCCAGAGATTATCCGTGCCAAGTTTGGTGTTGATCGGACTTGCGATTTCAAGAGGAGATAATTAAAATAGGTTTTTCAGTTTTCCCGATTTAGCGGAAAAAAGATTAGGCAGAAATGGGCGTGGCCTATACCAGGAGATTCAGCTCGATCCCCCGAACCTATGCCCCGAACGCATGTAAGGTTTTTGATATGCGCCTTCGTAGGCGGGAGTTCCAAGGCCAAACGCGTTGACCTTGCTTATAGCGCCCCCTATAATGTATACCGCCTTGTGAGTTTCGCGTCCTTAGCAGTTACTCGCCAGATTGCTTTTATAGCAGCAGAAAAATAAAAAATAAATAAATTGATAATGGCTGGTGCTGAAATAGATCTCAGTCATGACCGCAACAGTTACTCACATAACCACTTCCTCTTAAGTGATTGTGCCTCTAAAATAAAAGCGCAAGAACGTCTTTTGCAGCAATGCTTCATGTCGAGTTTATTAAGAGCTTTTACTTTGAAGAGTTCTGAAGGAAATTCAAAAGAGTCTCTGCCTTGCTTGACACACCTCTGAAAAAGCAGTCAGCAAACCTGTGATTGGATTCCCCTGAATTTTCTCAGGGAAATGAAAATAAGTTTCCCTAGGTTTATGAATGCGGATCAAACGCCGGAACTCGCACACACTGCAGCACGTGCTTTATTGTGAGCCTGTGCAAAAGTGTCCTTTTATTCAACTTGTTTAACAAGGGAGAAAAAAATATCCACAGTAAGATGGAATTAAATGTCACAACTTACCCGTCGGGAGTCGCGCCCTTCACCGACTGAGCTAAAAGAGCACACGATTTCATCCGGTTTGTAAGCTTGGAAAATTTTGGCCCGATGCCAGATTTATTTGCCGACCCCTGACCTAAGGCATAACCTATCCTTCCTTTCAGCCACAGAGCCATGCATGTAGAATAATCCTTTAACACGCAACAATAAATAAGCAAAAATCATGGATAGAACACATGCAACATAAAGCAAAGGTGGTGCTGAAAAGTTGAAGGAGAAAACAAAGAAGTCTCTTGGCAGGTGCAGCAAAGTGCCTCAATATTACAGACTTTTTTTTGTGCTGCTGTTACTTATAGACAGCAGTGATAATACCTGCAGCAGGGGTGGAAGTAACTTGTTACAAGTAACGCAAATTTATAAAATAGGCCTAAATAAATAGAATAAAAAAGTCGTTGGCAACTTTTCACGTTCCTTTAATATAGCCTAACTATATTTTTATTCTTCACTTTCTTTGGGCCAGTAGCTTAGTCTACTTAATTTCGCTACATTTTCCATTCATACCTTCATTTCTTCACCAGTCTGTAATCTGCATTTTGCTTCATTAAGCCAGGCTGTGTGCGCAGTTAGGCAGGTCTTGTCACAGATATGAATGAGCTGAGCAGATGCAAACATTTAGAAAATCAGGCAAGTACCTTTTCAGTTTAAGGCTTTATTGTTCTAATACAAGTGAAATCCAGTGAGCGCACACCACGGATGCCCTGTTGGAAAGCAGCCTACATACTGCATCACTCTTTCACAAGCCGGTAAGGGAAATATGGCTTTCCATAAACGGCGTGTTGAAAGCGTAGTCTCTTCAGAGCAAATGTAGACTGCACACTGTAACATCTAAATCAGATGATCAATGGATTGATTCTGATATATTTACAGCCTGTTAATTAGCTTGTTTCTTATTTCTAATTCACATCCTTGCTATTTGTTTTATAGCGATTACCGAGTCCATTAAACAGAATGTCGCAGGTGTAACTAGTCTTGGCTTTCACTCAGAAGCTGCCAGCTTTATTCAGCAAACAATCATTTTTGAGCTGCACAGAGAGAGAGAGAGAGAGAGAGAGAGAGAGAGTGTACAAAAGACTTTGAACCTTCTCCTACGTTGTTTAATATCCATTCTGTGTTCTTTAGTTGAGACCGTGAGAAAACGATAAGGTCGGGTAAATGGGTGACGTCATCATAGCGGAGCTTCGGATTAGGGGAGCTCAACGTGCTCATTTTGTTGTGTGCAAGTTAGTGGGTCGTGATATTACTACCATAGCATGTCTGTTCTCCTCAGCCTGTGTCCAAACTCTGTGTGAAGGTGACATGTAGCCTCCCTTCTACATGCAACACAAGAGAAAGCGGTAAAGGCTGATCTCCAGTGGTGGTTTGGAACCTCTGAGCCCCAACAACACACACACATCCCAGCACAGTTGCTGAAAGGAGTTCCTGGTGTGGTAAAAATACCAGCCTATCATATGGACATTATAATCGGACATTATTCGTTATTTGTTAGTTGTTTGAAAATGTTTTTTACATGGCTCTTAAGAATGCTTAAAAGAGTTACTGTTTTGTGTCCCATAAGAACAATTAGCCTAAGGGGCCGGAATGTTAGAGCCACATTGAAAACGCATTAATCTTTTGGATTATTTCATATTCATAAGTTATGTTAATTTTCCTTTATGTTTTTCACTCGATAATATTTTATGTTTGTCTCAGACAGATGTCATTAGTGTGTATTTAGCAAACTAACATGTGTAGCTGTGCTCCATTAGTTTGTCCTGTTTAACTCAAAACTACTGAAGTGCGTGGGGCTAAGCGCAGTAAAGATGAGGTGAGAGGACCTACTGCGGTAAAAAGGTCAGCCCAGCAGGACATGGAGCAACAGTTATCTGACCGTCACGTCCTGTATAGCAATAGGAAATTTTAAAGTTATCTGTGTGTAAGTACGTTTGATAGAAGACACCGGCAGACGTTTATTTTGTAACTGTCTTCTTTTTTCATCAAATAAAACATTATCTTACATCTGCCTCCTTGCCTCACTGGGTTATACAGTTTTGCTAATTTGGAAAGCAGGAGTCAGAAACTGTATGTCCAGCTGCCTTAGTGGCGCAAAATAAAATTTTAAACTACAATGTCCTCTTTTGGTAATGAAAATGCTGCAGTTCTACGTTCATCAGATAACTTTAGGGGGATGTTCCATAATGTCTGTTTTATGGTCACATATCAACGTTACAAAGAGGACATAATCAGAATGTTCTCATTTGGGTCTTAGTTGGTAATATTATATGACTTTAAGGGGATGTTCTATAATGGTTATTTTATGTAATTGCTCTGTATTTGTATTTTTACACTACATGCATTCACCATTCACACACATTCAGGACACTTCGACATGTAGCCTGGACAAGCAAGGATTGAACCGCTGATCTTTAAATAAATGGGCAACCCGCTTTATCTGCTGAGCCCCCCCGGTTCAAATTCACTCCTACACCCCTGCATTACAGGTTCCTGTACAAAGTGTTCAGGGAAGTGGATCTGTAGAGATAGATGTTAGATGGATGGAGTTGACTTTGATGGACTGGTCATGGACCGCAAAAGGTTGGCTGTTCAGTGTGCATGTGCACGTGTTTGGTTGTGTGTGTGTGTCTGAGAAGGTGTGAGAAGGTCAGGCCATATCAGAGGCCTTTTCATGTGTGTCTGCTTATGAGAGCTTAGCAGTGACATGTCCTGTCATTGGGCTGCTCAGCTCCGGACTCTCTCACACACACCGTCCTGACTCTCTGTCGACAGCAGAGAAAAGCTAAGAGTGTTACCTGACTTTGATCGGAGTGTTTGACAGACTCTAAACCATGAGTGGTGAGTAAACATTAAGCAGCTCATTGACGTTTGCAAAGCTTAACTCTATATTATGTGTGATTATGTGGAGAATACTGGATATTAGAATTTACCAGGATTTTTGAGATTGTAGCACATTGATGGCAGAAAATGAGGTGTAGCGTCTCTGATTTTAAAGGACTAATTATTTTTTATGGATCAGTGAGAATGCTTTGTGCAAAAAATAAATCAACTATTAAGTTAATTCTGAGAAACCTTAAGTACCATTACTGTGATGGGGCTGTTAATATATGATAGACTGTAATACAGAATTACAAATTCATAACAGCTTAAGGTGAGATGCCTGTGTGCTAGTATGTTTTAACATGTAGCCTAAGTCTGACTTTTCAATAGAGGGGTGAAATGTGCTCTGCCTTACAAGCTGCATGCCCTTCTACTTTAAAGATACTGATTTCACTGAGCTCAATTTAAAAATATTTGTTAGTGTCTAGTGCTGCAGTGGTTTTGGATTTAATGGTAAGATATTGTTTTGTTATCTGTATTAAAAAATGCCCGTTGAGTTATTGATGCTTTCCATTATTATTATAGACCCTTATTTCCTTGCTGTTAGCTTAATGTTTATCACTGTTCTCATCCATTGGTGGATGTTTGAGTTGTCAGACTGAAGAGGTCTGCCAGCAGCCTGACCAGGACTAAGCAGTTTGAGCCAGAGTTGGTGGCTTTAGACCGGAAGTCATGTTACCACTTTGGTATGGCACTCAGTGACAAACATTATAAATCAGATTAAAACAGAATAAAACAGACAGGTAAAACTGCAGTGGTTTATTCAGGCTGTGAATAAAATAAGAATATGACCTTTCATGGCAGTGTTTCTGTTCATTTCTATTCATTATAACTACTCAAGCACATATTTACTTCCATATTTAACACACATTAGAAGCGCAGCAAAACCAGTGAAGCAGAAATATTTCTCAGATGCAGAGAATGTGCAGGTGAAGGCTCTGGCTGTATGCTTAAGTTATAATCACTTAAATAATATATCTTTAACCTAGCCATCTGATATCTATAATCATGGCTGTGTAGGGTCTTTATGTTGAGCAGCTGATTCACACTTTAATTCCTTCACTAAGTCTTCATTGTTCCTTCATTGTATTCTATAATGGGTTCTGTGACACTGATTTGCACTGAACACACACCAAGCATGGCATTATACTGTATTGTCATAAGCGGTAGTCCATCCATTTCAATGCTAATATAGAGCTGTACAAACCGGTAATGGAGGAGTGTATGATTTAATCTGCCTTTTCATCCACTCTTGTCCATTCAGCGCCCAGAAATAGGATCATCAGCGCTCTCTTGAATCCTTCAGACTTTCTGTGAAACATTGTGACTGTTGTGCTTCAGTTACACACACACACACACACGCTCATAGGCAATTAAGTATGAACAGTACTGCGTGAGAGCTGATAATTCCGAAACTTACACCAAGATAAATAGTGACTTATCCAGGGTCATCCTACAACCGGCTAAACAATGGGTCTTTTACGCTGCATGTGGGATGTGTAGATAAACGAGAACCGCAGAACAATGGACAAAAGAAAGTCAATGGACAAGAATGGCGCAAACAGAATAGATGAGGTCTTTGGAGATTATATGATAAGTGTGTACCGCTTAGAAAAGACTAAAAATATAAAGGAGCTCAGAGTGACTAAATTGCACAGCAGATGAAGAGGCCGGCTGTTTACTATATTGTTCTTAAGAGCAGGGCTTCACGTCTGTTTGTAGAGGGTGATTCATGATTCAACATGTACCCTAGATAGATAAGGAGAAGTTAGACCAGCAGCCACGTGCTATACACAGACTGCTTTGTGTTGTTCAGGAGGGGGAAACACGGTAAGACTACAGAAGCTCAATGTTTTTCGTTTTACAGTGTTCTTAAACTTTTACAGTGTTCTTACAGTTCTTATGTATTCAAAGTTATTAAAAAAGATCACTGTGAAGGTCTAAAATAACAGAGCTAAAATTTCCTTACTCGCCAGTTAGTACAGCTTTAGTCATGTATCTTTGCAACCAGAGTTAAACTTGTGTCTTTCTTATATTCAAGGTCACGTGGTGTAATTTACAGTTTTATATTTTTTTTGTTTACGTGAGCCTTGCCAGTTAGAAAGGACCAACAAGAGAGCCAATCTCTCTATATATTCTGTTTTTTTAAGTGTTTATTTATAATCTTAACAACAGACTGTCAATCAGTATAGTATAATATGAGGTTATGAACAAGTGCTTTACTTTTTATAATTCAGTACATCTAATATCAAGTGCTTTAATTATATATTTTTATTACAGTAGAAGATTAGATTAGATTAAATTAGATTGTTTTAGTAGCTAAAGGCCAGTGGAATTTGTTTTTCTGTACACTGTATGTTAAACTTTGCATCACATACATACAGTACACTCAATTTTTGACTTGCAGTTATGTTTGAGTAAGAGGCAAGTCTATAACCGACTGTTTACATATTGGTTCAGGTGATTTCAGCTGCAACTAATTGTTTTCATTATTGATTTTTTTGTTGTTTATTTGATCAATTAATTGATAAATCATTAATCCTATAAAATAGGGGAAATACCCAGTGCAATTTCCCAGAGCCAAAGGGGATGTCTTGAAATTGCTTGCTTGTCCAATGAACAGTCCCAAACCTCAAATATATTTAATATATACAATTATATGAGTCAGAAAAAAAAACAAATCCTCACATTTGATAAGCTAGAACCAGTGAATGTTGCCATTTTTGCTTAATAGTGACTTATCCAAATTGGTTTTGATATATGTTTTGTCCATCTACGTCATTTTACCACTAACATTTATATGAAAAGAGTGGCATTTACTTTGTGGGCACTAAGAAGAATAAATTAAACATCTGGCCAGCATGTGTCTGTCACCACATATAAAGTAATGTTTGTGTCACAGCTCGACTTGGTTTTGATTTACAGTCATAAACAATTTCTTAAAAAGAGCAGTCCATTTGTCCATTTGATGTGACCTCCTGTTTCCACTCAGCAATTTTCCATCATGGTTGTGGGAGCTGATGTTTTCCGCCTGATGTTCAAAATCATCAAAATGTCACCCAGCCTATTACTCTTGCCAAAACCTCACATGCAAAAATGTGACCTATTATTTCTCCCTACGTCATCCTCTTCCTGCCTAGTTTCGCACGAGACCTGCCTCCTGGACCAGGTGCTGGAGCTGATTATGAACGAGAAGCCCCCCAACAGCGCTAGTCTTTTCCTAAACGAGGACGCGGACAAACCCACCCTGCCAGAGAGTGGAGACTTGAGGAGGCGACTACGCAGGGCCATGGAGAAGAGAGCTAACAGCATGAAGGAGAGGATGAGCTCCATCAGCAGGGACAGCGTCAAAGGTTTCTTCAAGAGGAATCTGTTTGTTCTCTTCACTGTCGCCGCTGTGGCTCTGGGTGAGTGAAGGGGGAAACCCAGTGGAGGTTTAACGCTGCTTCCTCTGCCGTCAGTTGACTTTGTGTACATTTGTGCTTTTGTGTGTATGTGTCCAAATGTATTCAGGTGTAATCCTGGGCTTTGCCCTACGTCCCCACAACCTGTCCCTGAGGGAGATCAAGTACTTTGCCTTTCCTGGGGAGCTCCTAATGAGAATGCTACAGATGCTGGTGCTGCCTCTCATCGTCTCCAGTCTGGTCACAGGTTGGCTTATAACGAGCACAGAAGAACAAACACTCTAAATGTTGCCGGCATGTTTCAGTAGATTACTGGTCAGACCCTAAGATGGGAAAGTTGGAGGAATGTTACTACAACTAAACTACTCAACTTTAAATATCAACAGCTCCAGTCGCATCCAGAAATAATGGGCCTGTCCAAATGACCACTCTGTGATATTTTATATTAAAAGAACAAGAGGCTAAATGTGTAATTTGAGAAGTCCAGAAGTTTCTGGACAGAGCATTGCCCTGCTTCTAATTACAATAAAGTTTCAAATTGTTGTTTTTACACAGTGTAATTTGTGTATGATTATTGTTATTATAATGTAAAGGGAAAGGTTCAGTAGTATTTCCTGACCAATTACATTTGTGTCGGTAAAAAAGAATATTGGTAACAAAATCTAAACTTGAGGCAAAGTGATGAGATTAAGTTAATTTCCTGTCTCAGGTATTTCCTCCTTGGACAGCAAAGCGTCGGGTAAGATGGGTGTGCGCGCAGTGGTCTACTACATGGTGACCACCCTGATCGCTGTGTTCATTGGCATTGTCATCGTGATAATCATCCGGCCGGGGAAAGGCAGCAGGGACAGTCCTGTGGCCAACGGTGGAAACATAGAACCAATTCAAGCTGCCGATGCTTTCCTAGATCTCATCAGGTAACAGCTCAGAAACTCTGGCTTGTCTCACTTGTGACGTTACACACAGGTGCTTGCTACTGTATCAGCTGTTTTCCCTGACTGTGTCCACATACAGTCACATCACCCACATTTAAAGTCAAATTAGAAGATGGACACCACCCTCATATCTACTCTTAATATGACGCCACAGCCAGTGGCCAGTTAGCTTGGCTTAGCAGCAGCCGAGAAATAGTCTGTCACACAATGCCGCAAACCACGTATAATCGTTTTTACACTTCGATTTTGTACTGATTGAAAGACACAAGACATACCATGTTAAGTAGAGAGCTTTAGAGCTGCTGGTAGGCAGTTTCACCTTTGGGCACAGTCAGGCTAGTTGATCAGACTTATTCTGAAGGATTACTCTTTAAGATTATCACATGGTTATTGATAAACATGGTGTAGTACTGCAAAATGTTCAACCTGCTGTGATTCATGTGGTGTTGTTTTATAGACACTTTGGCACAAATATAATAATTTCTGCTATTTATCCCAGGAACATGTTTCCACCCAATCTGGTAGAGGCCTGTTTCAAGCAGGTGAGGCTGTCTTCTCATATCAGACATATAATGATACAAAAAACATTATTTCACTGTGAAATCACATTTATTGTAATTCACCTTCAGAAACTTAAACACTTAAACATAATTAATGCATAATTTTGGATTAATTAGAATGCTCTCTCTTGCAGTATAAAACTGTGTACAAGAAGATTGTGCACACAAGGAACGTGACAGTGACCCTGAACCTCACTGACTCTCTCAACATGACAGAGTCTAACCTTAGTGTGAACCTCAGCAGGGTGCTGCACACCATACAGGTGGGTGGCAGTGGCACCTCCAGGGAAAACAAACACATGGCAATTTCAGACTTGATTCATATGAATTTATACAGATCTAAGTGGGATGAAAAATAGTCACAATCCAGTGAGTGTTTGTCTCTTTTTACAAGAACGTCAGCAGGAATTGAAACATTAATATAATGTTTCCTTAAACTTATTGTCTACGACAGGAGACAGTGGAGGAGACTGTCCCTGTGTCCAGCTCCTCTGCTGGAGTGAATGCTCTGGGTTTGGTGGTCTTCTCCATGTGCTTTGGTCTGGTCATTGGCAACATGAAGCAGCAGGGCGAGGCCCTCAGGGACTTCTTTGACTGCCTGAACGAAGCCATCATGAGGCTGGTGTCTGTCATCATCTGGTCAGTAAAGACACACCTAACTAACCCCATAAGCTCTTGATTTATATTTTCTATACGTTTTCGATTTGGTATTGAAGTTTCATATGCAGTTTAAATTCCTTGTTTGTTAAGACAGATTGTGATTCTATGATCTTGAATGTGCAATCATAATAAAGCTTGACTTGACATGACCTGATTGCCTTCCTAAAACCCAGTGAGCCGCTGGTGGGTCAGTCATTACAATCGTAGGCTGTGCAGCCAAACATTTTCAAACTCACAGAACTTTTAAACTCTAGTGGAGATTCCAAAGTTTCCAAAGATATCGAATATTGAATTGTAAGAACTGTATGTTTATAGCTAAAGATGGTTTATAACAAATGCAGTTTCTAAATGTTAAACCATAAAGTTATAAACTGTAGATTCACAGAAATTCACAAAGGTATGCTCTCAGGTATGCTCCAGTGGGTATCCTGTTCCTGATTGCGGGGAAGATTGTGGAGATGAAGAATCTGGCGGAGGTGGGCGGCCAGCTGGGGATGTACACTGTGTCAGTCATTGTGGGTCTCCTCATCCACGGCCTCTTTGTCCTGCCACTGCTCTACTTCCTGGTGACCAGGAAGAATCCCTACAGCTTCATTGGTGGCCTGCTGCAGGCGCTCATCACTGCTCTGGGAACCTCATCTAGGTAAATATCATAATCCGTCCTGCTCAGATACTGGTGTCAGACACTGGGAGATGTTTGTAGCTTACTGTCGGTGCCCAATCCAGTGCGTTGTATGAATATATTGTGTTTTTGTGTCATTGATTTCAGCACTACATCTCATGAGAAAAGAAAATAAGCCAATATAACTAGACCATATCATATTAATAGTTTCTGATGACTAGTTTCAAATCATCACGCTACATCTCTCCGTCCCTGCATACTGCAGCTCTGCTACTCTGCCCATCACCTTCCGCTGTCTGGAGGAGAACAACCGTGTGGATAAACGAGTGACACGTTTTGTCCTCCCTGTGGGTGCCACCATCAACATGGATGGCACTGCCCTGTACGAGGCTGTGGCAGCCATCTTTATTGCTCAAGTGAATGACATGGAATTAAACTTTGGCCAGATTCTCACCATCAGGTAAACCTACTTTGCACCATACACACAAATACTGTAGATGCTGGAGGCACAGGGCCTAGCAAGTCAATCCTTTTTGTTTAGGATGAGTTAAGTACAAAAACTAGTATTCGGTGGTGACAAAATCATATGAGACAATCAGGAAATATTTTATTGTTTTTCATTCAGTACATTTATGTAATTTTACATAATAAAATACATAATCATTTTACTGTGTTGCTGCCAGGCAGTTCAGGGTCGGGAACTCAACAGCCACTGAAGTGTCCCGAGGTTACTGCTAAAAGCTAGATGTGATGGTGCCTTCGCTGCCTAAGTTATGTCACTTGAGTCAGTGTCGGTTGGGGCTAAAGGGCTAAAAGTTTGAAAAAATAGTGGTGTAGAGGAAGAGGTGAAGTTACCAGATCTCCATAGCCTGCTCGTCCTTTCTGCTTGAGGCTAGCAGCTCAGCCAACAGGCTAATTGCTTAACACGCACCAAGTCTACTGTCTCTGGTACATGGGCGAATCTGGTCTCAGCAGTGAGTGCATACAGCTACAGGAAACCCAGAAGGGAAAACATGTATCATTTCATTCATCTTTTTGCTGTGTTTTGTTATTCTAAAACATGTTGTAAGTCATTGTTTTGAAAGTGGATAAAGAAGTGAGACAACATTTGTCTAATGGTAAGACAAACCCTGGCTGGAGAACCCAAAACAATTAACTGATGGAAAAACTCTGTACGGACTCCTTCTGGCAGTCTACTTACTGAAGAGAATCAACATGTGATCACAGTTTATTTACACCATCATTCACCTGGTCCTCCTTTTTCATTAACAGACCAAGTGTACATAATGTTACATATAGTCATCATATTATACTAGAATTGCCTTTATGATGTAATCCTCTTTGATGACATTTTCTACAGTTTATAGAAAATATAGCTGTGGCTAGATTATTTACATTATTCTATAATTCCTCGTGTGCTTTTATCACTCTACTCCTCCCACCAGGAGTGCACATGTGCTGTTTGTTTGTTTCCCTTTATTAAATGTCTTCACTCTCCTCTCCATCCCTCCCACCGCCCACTCAGTATCACAGCAACTGCTGCCAGCATCGGAGCAGCAGGCATCCCTCAGGCTGGCCTGGTTACCATGGTGATTGTATTGACATCGGTGGGACTGCCCACAGAGGACATAACACTGATCATCGCCGTGGATTGGTTCTTGTGAGTTTCCACTAAATGTCAGCTTGATGGGGATTGGTCTGTTCTGTGGGTCTGCCAACCTAAATGTCATTGTAAAGCTTTCAGAGAGCCAAGAGGTCCCACCACTACAAAGGTTATTGATGCATAATGCAGAGTGACAGATTAGAGAGCCTGTGTTTAGGGAGCTGTGAATGTTTTTATAGCAGATAAACAATACTGTTTTCCTTGTCTTTTTCTTTATTGTACATCTCTTTTTCCTGTCTCTTATCTGATTCTGTCTCCCCAGGGACCGTTTGCGCACCACCACCAACGTGCTGGGTGACTCACTTGGGGCTGGCATTGTGGAGCACCTGTCCCGTGGAGAGCTGCAGAGTCAGGATGCTGAGGTGCGCAACTCTGTAATCGAGGAGAATGAGAAGCCCTACCAGCTTATCTGCCAGGAAAACGATACCCTCAATCACCACAGCAGTGAGACAACAATGTGAAGACAAGAGTTACACCCTTAAGGGCTTCATGTACCAAAATAATTTTAGCTAGATGGTTGGCTTGCAATTGTGCAGGGACAGTCTTAGAAAATAATAGTTTTTGGTCAACACAGCCAGTACTTGGGGCAAGTCCAGCCCGGGGCTGGTACACATGCTGTTTAGGAACAGTTCGTACATCCGATGCCTAAAATCTGATTCAGTGTTTTTGCCTTGGGGGCGTTTTGCTGTTTGATGACTGTTTTTTATCATGTTTTAATAGATTTGTATAATTTACGATCCTTTCAGTTAGAGTATCCTAAACTCCTTACCAGCATTATTGTAGATAAACATCACCACTAATCAAAATTATGCGAACCAACTAATTTTCCAATCTAGTGAAAATGTAAATCTGCATAATTTGGCTATTGCTGTTGCATGACTTAACACTTACTACATATTGTTTCTTTTGCAAACACTTTTTTTTTGTCTTTCGCATTATGACTACCTCTACTAGGACTTAGATATGGAGCTTCTACAGCACTATACACAAAAATACTCAATGGAGCATATCAGCAGGATGTAAATACATCATTTTCAGAATTGTTTAGGATCCTGTATTTAAGTTTTGAATATTATTGTGTTATTTAAGTTTGCTTGCTAACAATGTAATTGTACATCTTTTTATGTACTTGACTGTTAAACAATGGAGGTGTGACGGAGAATCTTGTGACAGAGAATCTCTACTTATTTTGAAGTTGATATATTAAGTGACTTGGTAGAATGTTTTTCACTTAGTGGTATCTTATGTATGTATTTCTTGTATTTATTTGGTGCTATTGCTTTTAAACCATAAGTACAGGACAATACTGCTACACAGACATTTTACAGGAATCTTTGTAGTTATAGCTGTTCAGAAACTTTTTTTTTTTTTTTACTTCAAGCACTTATCCAGATGTCATAGAAGAGGAAGATATCAAAGAACAGAATGATCAATTTTTGTTTATTTTTTTCTTAGGTAAAAGTTTTAATTTTTCCATGTTAGATATTTTTTGATTACTGATGGGAGTATAAACAACTGTAGTTTCAAGTTCCAAGACCATTAGGTGACATTTTGTTGTTGGTAACAACAATGTGCTTAACATCAGTATTGTCTGTGTTTTCTGCTTTATAAATCACATATTTAAATGTGTTTAGATTTTGACTGGAATATATTGCAAGCAAATGATTTATTAATTTTTTATTGTTTTGTGAAAAGGTACTGTGAAGAAAGCCTTGAGGAATTGAATGTGCAGTTGTTTTATGCTTTTTGGTGTTAATTGTTTTAGGCTAAAGTGTAGTGTATAATTATGAAAGTTATATACCATTTAATCGAAAGCTCTTCTGACTTCATGTCACTTCACGCTCATTAAAAGGTTTGTTATTTCAGTGAATGGCTCAACATTTTGATGGACAGCTTATGAAAAATGTGACAAATAAACGGCTCAGGAATTGAACTGTGATTCTCATTATTGTGTTTGTGGCTACCCCTGGTGGAGGATATTCTCCTGTCCAGAAGCTGTTCTCCTTTGAGGCACATGGGTCAAATTTAATATTAGAAAAAAAGTTTCTGTAATAATAATTGGATGGGTTCTGTGTAAAAACAAGGTGATTTAAATTTAAGTAGTTGATCACTAATAAGGCAAAACTGTTCCATTGTTGTCTTAGTTTAGCATGTTAGCACGCTAACCCCAATTAACCTTATGAACAAATTACAGCTGAGCCTGATGGGAATGTCATTAGTTATACAGGTATTTGGGCATCAACCCAAGTATTGGGCTAAAATGTACCTAATCACCAAATATTTAAAATTCATCCTGAGGGGAACATGAATGTATGTTCCTAGTTTCATGGCAATACATCCAATAGTTGCTGAGATAATTCAGTCTGGACCAAAGTGATGGACCGACCAACACCGAGCAGCTGGCATGGCTAAATAAAATGTAGGCCTACTGTGTGGTGAATAAGACATGCAGACACACGCAAGGTTCCCAGAAAAAGAGGCAGTGAGGCAGTTCCAGGTATTATTTCAGATTCATTTATAAAATAGTTCATATTGTGTTTTAACATACAGTGCACTCTTCTACAATACAATACTTGTGTGTTTCACACACAATTGAGCCCTCTAAGTTTTAACAGCCTTGCCATGTGGTGAATTGAATCATGAATACTTTGGCATAGTTTAGTGACAGACTATTGGTGGAAAAGACAAATGTAAACTGCAAATGCGTAGATATTTAAATCTGTGGTAGATGCCTGAGGGCCTCATTTTAAAAGATAGACTTGAGTTTCATACTGAGTTTACAAACAGTCATTATACAGAGTGGACAAAATGTCAAGAACATTGGCTCTTTATGTGACACAGAAAGTCATATCCAGGTGAAATCTTTCTCTTAGTTCACCTTTCTAACAGTCAAACATATCAGGTCAAAGCCTGCACTGTGTGCAGTGTCATTACACATCACTGAAGGTATACAAGTCACACAGAAGCATTGAGTATCTTGCTGATATACAATATTAATATCACTGCTCGTTTATCGTTGTTTAATTATAATTTTTTCACGAGTATGTTGTGAAAATGAATGTTGTAGAGGGAGACACTTCCAGGCAGACTCCGGCAAATAACAGTATGAGCCATTAAAAAAAAATCAATTCAACCTATCTTACAACTAAATACTCCTCTGTTGAGACTGTTCCAGCCATTTGTTTGGGAATATTTCAAGCACAGTTCATGTTTAAATATCTAAAGCCATTTAAATATGTATTGCTGCCCAGGTCTGGTCCCAGGGAGACAGATAGCTTAGATAGAGAGAGACACGAGACAACTGGAGAGTCAGCCAGCTTCGCTGTGTAAAGATGACGAGCTGCTGAAAGTTTACTTGGCCTGTAGAAAAGTGGAAAGACATTTAGTAGATTTCATATATTATATACCATGTACTGAACTTTCAACATAGTCAAGAGGTTAAAAAAATCTTACTTATGACTAAGAGTTTTCCTCCATATTTGACGGCCCTCCATCACTCCACACTGAGAACCGCCCAGTTATCTTTCTTGTCCTGATGATCACAAGAGGAGGAAATCTTTAAAAAAAAACTCCCTCAATATGTCAAATCAACAGTCACATTGTCTACTTTTGGCTGGATAATATTTATTTTATTACATTTGACATATAGTCTATTGCAGGAGATTGTGACCATGTAGCCGCAAAGTAGCTTGTATCTGACCTCTGACATGACGGGCAGGTTGTCATGAGGAGGGAACCATATGGCCTTGTTTTTCTGTCTCTGCACAAGCTTTCTCAGCAACCTCTTCACCTTCCGGTCTCTGGGGTCTGCACATTTCACAGCCTTCTTCGTGTAAAGACTACAAAAAGAACATAATACAATACAATACAATGCAGTACAAGGTTCTGCTGGACACAGAAAGAACCCCCATATTTTAATCTGCCTGAAACACAGTATTGGCAAAAACAATGATTCAGCAGTTACTTGGTGGACTACAAAGATGTCTCCCAGGTGAAGCCAAAGGAATCACAAATCAAAAAGGAATCAAAAAGAGGTGCTATAAGATGCTGTAAATCGAGTAAAAAAGTTTTTTTTCTCCTGTAGAAAGAAGTCAAACTGTGATCAAAAGTGAGGAAAGTTGAAGACAAGAGGTTGTGAACTGAAATAGAGAGGACAAAATAAACTATTGTATCACAACTGTATAAGAATTCAATGTTTTTGTTAACTGGACCACATGAAAAAGCAAGTTCCTCATTCTCCAGCTACATCAGATTTCACTGACCTGCTATAAGTATCACAAAGCAGAATGGTTTACTTAACTAAACCCTGCTGTTCTGACAGACTTGCTGCAGCAGGACTCAGCTGGCTTGGAAGGTATTTTCAGATGACTTGTTATTCCCACATATTTCTTTCTTACTTCCCTGGCAATTACAGCTCAGAGCTCTGCCGTAACAACATGACCTGGAAAGATGACAATGCCTCTCAGCCCAGCTCTGCCCTTCTCTAACAAGAGGCATATTTTCCATGCCTGCAGATGCTGCTGTGTGCTCTTTAGAACCATGAGTGGATAGTTGAAATACTTGCATGATGGCTTGTATACTGCAGTCGGGCCCCTCTGTCTGCACCTCAAACCGCAACACATCTTTGGTACGCACCTTGCCCTGGGAGTACAACATGCAGCATTGGACATCCCTTTGCATCTGCACGCCTTTGCCTGGGCACGAAAAGAGACAGACACAAAGAAAAAAGAGAAAGAAAACATTAGGGATGTGTCAAACAAAAGCAAATTGAAATAATGATACTGAAGTTCATTGGTTTTAAGGTCCATTAATTATATTGGCTTATCCCTTCCTATTTAACACCTTTTAGCTTTATTTTATCATGTCAGAGTTTATCTCAAGTGAGAACAGGACACTGAAGCAACATAATGGCAGCCACAAAAGTTTCAAACAGTGTGCACTATTGCACATCATTACCAATAACATCAATATTCATTACAGAAACATTTTACATTAATACTTATCACACAGAATCATGAAACACTGTGAAGTCAATATTCTGATAAATCAAAGACTTGGCAGCTTTTGAAGACAGAAAAACGTTATCTGTTCTGCAGAATGTGAACATGCCCTCAAGTTACATATACAGACACACTCACACATGGACACACATATGTGCTCAAGAATGTCAGAGGAATTACAATGGCATCCCGCTGTCCTGCAAAACATACTACCATGGCAGTGAAATAAGAAACAGAGAAAGTGAGAAAAGGAGAGGAGGAATGTGTGTTTGTGTGGAGGGTGTGCCGTGATGCCTTATCATCCAAAGCAAACGTGTAAACAAATTAAAGTGTGATGGAAGCGGCAGGCTCAATAAGAGCTGTAAAATAGGACAGTGCTGCTTTGTGATGCCACAGATGATTTTGAATCCATCCTCAGGCACATCACTGCACTTCCAGTGCTTTCACAAAATGTTTAAAAAATAGACGAGACGACACCATCACACAGACTGAGCACTGACACAGTTGCTTTCTTTCTGTGTGAGTGATGCATGATTTGAGATGCTCGTCCTCCTGCGTTCTGCCCCTCTGTTTACATCCGTGCCTCCCTCCCTGCTGCTGCTGCTGCTGCCATCCCTCTTTCCCTCTTCTCTCCTTTTCAGTCTTCGCCATCGCTCTCTTTGCTTCATTGTCCACCTGCAGGGTGCAGGCAAGCCATGCAACACACACACACACACACACACACACACACACACACACATAAACACACATAGTAAGTGTGGTTGTGTCCTACCTTCCACAGATGCCAGGAGAATAACAGTCAGAGAGATAACAGTCAACATCTGCAGCATGAACATGATGAGACTGGCAGAGAGGAGGACAGAAGAGGAAGATAATCTACTATGTCACCTCTCCCTCTATGGCTGCCTCTCTTATATGACTCCCTCCCTCTCTTTATACCTCCCTGCCCATCTCTCACTCACTCACTTCTACCACCTCTTTTTTAGTCTTTACCGTCTTTCCCTCCCACCCTCTGTTTATCCATTTTCAGTCATTCTCACACTCAGCTAACCCCCCTCCCGTTTGATTTTTCTTTCACACTCATCTCACCTCTCACTCATTTCTCCTTTCCTGCCTCTTCACTCAGGATGCCAAGCTTCATTTGTCTCATTTGAGGCTTTAAATTCCTCCTTCATCATGTCTCCTCTCTTTTCTTTGCATTTTCCCCTCCAGGACTGAAACAGATTTAATGGGTGTAATCAACAAAGAAGAACCCTGTAGCTTTCACATTACATGATCAGCCCGGTTTGGAATTTATAGCACAAAAATAATTCATCCCCACATAATATCCAATTAACCTTGGTTTGCAGCAGTGTATGGTAGTTGTGGAAACTCTTAGACCAAACAGTATCCGGCGTGTCTGGCTTGTGTATCTGGATGAATCTTCAAATCAGAGTTGTGTTCTTAGTGGGATTCCAGACAACATGCAAAACACACCTATAAACTGTGATAAACTGAATGTGTTGCCTTAACTTAACTCTGTATGAAAACATGCTTAAACTAATCATGGTTTAGGTGCCTGTTATATATATGATATGTGACATTAAATGTATGCTATATGTTATTCTTGTACCATATAAAACTTAACTCTACTTGTAATTGTGCTGTTGTTATTGTTCATGACTCTGGAACAGCCTCCTGCAAAGTCTCTGAAAAAAACACATCAGTAAATCTTTATATACCTTGTATTTTGTGGGTCGTACTTAACTGGGCTTATTTTTTTCTCTGTCCCTTTTATCTTTTGCTATACCGTGTGAAAAACGTTTGTTTGTTATGGTAAAGTTGCTTCTTTCAAAGTGGTGTTCCACAAGGTTTGGTCGGCAGCCTCTTGCTTGTTTTCTTTGTATGTTTGATTTTAAACTCACAATGTAGCTTGTAGTAACAAATGTCACAC